CTCATTAGCTGCAGGTACAGGAGGCTTCCCCTCCAGGCTGTGTGTGGAGCGCACAGGAATGTCTGCAGGGTGGCAGTGGGGCAGACACTGTGTGTGCTGGGATGCTCCCTGTGCCTGGCTGCAGGTGAGGGGCACTGAGCTCCTCCCCACTCCTGCTGCTCTCACCTCAGCTGCTGTCAGCCCCTTTGGTGACTCCTCTGGGAGCCAGAACCAGCCCAGAAGACAGAGCAGCCAAGCCCTGCTCAGCATCCCTCACAGGGAGGGAGGGATTGCTCTCAGGAGCCAGGAGGGGCAGAGAAACAGCCAGAAAAATCCCTGTCTTTAACAGAGAGCTTGATTAAGTTGTAACTCATGCTGGCTTTAATTCATGTTGTATGTAAAGTTTGTTTTCATCAAAGAGTCATGGAATCATAGGGGTTGGGAGGGACCTTAAGGGTCATCCAGTTCCAATCCTTGGCTTTGGACACATCCAGGGATGAGACACCACAGCCTCCAATAAATATTCCTGCATAATTGTCTGTCATGTGGAAGCCCTCCTGCCAAAGACAAATAATTCTGAAAATTTTCATCAGACATCAGACATTTCAGCAAGGGAAAAGCCTCAATTACAATGTTAATTATTTCGTTAGGTTTCTATCAATTAGAAATAAAAAATCTCCTGTATTTCAAAGAAGACAATCTAGACTATTTTTACCTCAGGATGCAAACCCAGAGTTCTTCCATCAGCACAGGCTGGTTCAGCTGTTAATTTTTTTTCCCAACAGATTTCCAGCTTTATACTCTACTGTCATTCTGTTGATTTTTCTCTTTTTTTCTGTTGGTTGCAGAAATGTTCTTTTTTCCCAGAACATGGTCTCTCATTCCCAATCCATATGATTATTTATTTTCCCAATAAAGAAAAATGCAGTTTATCCAAGCACTAAAAATTGATTTAGATATTACAAAGACATTTTAGGTACATCCTGTAACAGCTGTAAAGACATTGGCCTGAATCTGGCTTTAAATTTCCTTGACATTTTTGCAAATAAGGCTGCCTGGAATAATTCACTCCTGGGCATTTCGATATCACAAGGAATTTAGAAATAGTAGTCACCATAATTTGTTGGGAAAAAATACTTTCATTTCTTGTTGGGGCACAGAAGGAGCTATAATGTGGGAGGATACAAATTCTACGTTCTTTTGATTAAAATTATTTTTATGGTATATTGAGTAATTAATCTGAGATTAGTATGTTATATTGATATCAATTACAATGTATACACTGCCAATAAACTTAAATTCGCAAGACATAAATCATTCTATGCTCTATTTTATTAGCCTTATAACATATAATATTGTAAAATATTTCTTATACATAATTTTCTGGCAGAATCTTGCTGATTTCGAGTATAATGCTTTAAGGACATTAAAATTCGAGCTCCTGACAGGCACCTGCCTGGCCATGTTTTCATGTTGCTCAGTTGTTTGGTGCTTATCCAATTTTGCTTTGTAGTTTTGTTCATGTAATTGGACACAACTCCTCTTTTAAACAAGACTTTTGTTGTGAAAAGATGTCCCAGGATTCCTGATGTTACAAGAACCTTTATTTCGCTCCTACAACAACAGATTCTTTTTGTAATTCAGGTTGTGTGTGAAGAGCCTCTGACCTGCTTTTGCCATAGCAACCACACCTTTTGATTTTACCAAAAGAAAAGGGAAAACTACTGGAAATTAGAAAGCCTTATTATTAATTTAACTTTGATTTACCATTGTTTTGTCCTTCAGCAGGGAAAACATTGATCAGAACATCTCTTGCTAGTAACAAGTTATGTTCCAGTGAGTCTCTTAAACACCATTGGGAGAGGAAAAATAGAAATTAAGGCTGCATTCTAAAAAAAGCATTCATGGGCACAATAGATAAATTACATTTTTCTATTTATCCTTTAGGTTCTCCACATTGGAGTGAGTAAAGTGTTGCCAGTTTTTATAGATCTATAGTTTATTATGGCCTTGGCTCTTGCTGCAGGATTTCTTATTAATGGCACCACGTGAGGATGAAGATCATTTCAAGGTTTTAGGGGATGCAGATCCATCTAGACCTCAACTTCTGTGCTGGAATATGAGCTTGTCCCCCATATCCCCAGCAATTTGTCTGTCTCTGGGGAAGCCAGGGCTGTCCCTCATTTGCCCCTTGTGCCATCTCTGTGTTTCCAGCAGCTCCAGCAGCCTTTTCCTTCTCTCTTGGCCAGCAGCACGAGGTTTTTCCCAGAATGCTGAAGGCTGCCTCATTCCAGCAGCACTCATTTCACCCTTCCACCTCTTTTCCATGGATGTTATGTCTTCAGGCAGGACTACACATGTTTTTCCTTTGCTCTGGCTATTAGTAATGGCTGAGACTCAATAATTCATGTAATAATGGGCTAAAGTGGCTCCAGTTCTGCTCTGGAGGAATCCCTTTTCACCCTGCACTCACAGACAGACTTCCAAAGCAAATTTCTTCTCCCAAAAGTGTTGATTTGCATCAGCTGCTACTGCCACAAACATATGAAATCACTCCATGGGTTTGAAATACTCAACTTCCTCCTTCCAGTGCCTCTCTCTTTCGAGGGCTGGAAATATCTGTGCAATTTGGAGTGTCAGCAGATCTGACAGATTAATAAAATACCAAATTAGGGAAATCTCAATATCTAATAGTCTCAATATCTGTGTAGTTTTTGTTCTGAACATCTTGCCAGTTTGTGAAGTGAAATCAGGACCGAGATTCAGTGCTGAAAACTCGCCTCAAATTAAAAATAAACAAAAAAGCCCCAGCCAATTACTGGCAATAGGACTCTTTCACTGTCTCACATTTGGAAATTTCTTTTGGCTGGACTCCTACACTCTCTTTTATGGCTGAAGTTATCCAATGAACAGTAGGATTGTACAATAATTCTAAGATACACATATAGGTTATTAAGTTTTTGTGGTTCCTTATCTCATATCTAAGAAATGCATTCATATATGAGCAGAGATTACATTGTTAAAAATGCATTGGAAGCTGCAGAATTCCCCATTTATCCGGGATGGATGATCAGGGAATGTTTTATGTAACACTGAGTTATCAGATGGACAATGTGTGTCAGTTAATGCACACAGGCTTTAAACATTTTCAACAACACCTGGAATACAGCAACCTATTTTTTCATTTATTATACCCCATGCTCATGTTTTTTTAAAAAAGACATGTTAACTTTTTTTATTCAACTCAGTTTTCAGTGCAGAGTTGTTGGTGTCATCCAAGGTCAGTGTCCTTCCCCAGTATCCCATAACTCACCAGGTTTATAGGAGCTATAGGTTTCCTCATATGTGTCAGAAAGGTGCTTGACAAATTGTGCATTTGGGACCCATCCAGGTGTAGGATTTTTCCTTAATGGATGTTTCCTGGGACTTAATATGTACTTCTTACTGCAATGGTGTGTGAATGAGCAGTTCATGGAATCTGTCTCTTGGACTATACTACGTTAAAAGGCTTAAAAGTGATGTATTTATAAACATTTTGCTGTCAAATGTCTCTGTTAATAGATGGCCATGCTCTGTAAGTGATACCACAAATAACTTAGGGTTGCATTAATAAAAACCCTCATAAACATTTACTTTCAAATGCAGTTTTACAGATCCTGGTGTCTCAAACCAGACTGCTTTCATATTACCAAGAATTTTTTTTTTTTTTTCACTTTCTTTTGGGCTCTGACTGATATAATTTTCACCCTACTCTGCACTAGTGCAAATCAAGTTCAGCTTCAGTGCCCCTGAGTCACAGCAGCTGCCCTGATCCCGAGTTCTATTGCAGCCAGGCAGGGTCCAGGGTTTTAAAGCCTGGCAAGGATTTAACAGTGCCAAAGGTGCTGGTATGGGAGACCATCAAAGCAGCTCTCCTTTATGTCCCTCCTGCACTGAAATACCTGCAGAGGCAGTATCCCAGGCACTGGAATCCCTTAGCACAGGGATGGATTTGAGCTAATTAGCCTTGATTTTCAGCAGGGGCAGTTGAGGCTGAGCTGGCACTCAGCAGATGGAGCTGGGCTGATTTTGGGGAGCTCTGAGCACCTCTGCTGTGTGTCTGATCCATATTCCCAATCAGCCTGGTTTTCTTGATATATCACCTTTGTTTCGTTATTAATGTACATCATCTTTCTAATAGTATATTTACAGTCTTCTAATATATAGTAAACATACAGTGGTTTGTAGGAACTTCTGTAATAATAATTTCAAAACCATAGCAAGAATTTAGGGTCCTTCCATCACCATAATTCACCTTCAGATGATAACTAATAAAATTGTTGCTCTGAAGGCTTTTGTCACAATCCTTGCTGAGTCCTAGAATTAATATCAAGATAATTAGAAGTGCCAGATAAAAACCTTTTCTCCTATTGACAAATAATTCTCCTCCATATTGGTTTTTTTTCTATTGAGAAAAAAAATTACTGAAATGTTTCAAAAGGCATCTCCACTGTGGATCTCACCTATGGGAGGTCAAGTGTTTGCTGTGTATTCAAACCCTTAAATCATATTACTCAACCTGCATTGCAAAGCCCTGGAGCTACCCAGTAAATCAAAAAACACGTTTCCTTAGGAGGCAGGAAAAGCAAGAGATATCAAAATATGTATTATTAAAATCCATTTCAGTGTGGGTGCAGTTTTACAATGGGTTCAGCACTTCGTTTGAGCAGACAAGACCGGGTTTTTTGGTAGTGCTATTACCATGTGTTTATCCTTCATTAATCAAGCAGTGAGAACACTGAAAATGGAAACATTTGTGTGAAGGCCAAGGAAACTTGTGGTAAAAAAAACCTGGGGAATGGTTACAAAGCCTGAGTAGGGAGGGTCCTGCTGAAAGGTTACTCGTGCACATTTTGGGGGTGCCTGCTTTAGTTATTGCACAACCTTTGCTGTTTTTCAGTGCTTACCGAATGTGTGGTGCAATAATTGTGTGTTTGTGTGAGGAGGCAAAGAGTAACTGCCTGTGTGTGTGCCCTGTTTAGTGCTGAGCATCGGAGAAGGCGGATTCTGGGAAGGCAGCACCCGGGGACATATCGGCTGGTTTCCTGCAGAGTGCGTGGAAGAAGTTCAGTGCAAACCAAATGAAAGCAAACCAGGTAATCGCATCAAGCTCCTGCTGAACCCCAATGTGACAAATGCCACGTGTCTGTCCCAATAGAGACATCAGGGCCTTTGTGCACTGCTAGAAATGGGAGAATTGGATAAAGCTGAGCTGCTGAATTAAAAAATATGGGTGGGTTTATTGATTGGATTTTGCTGTCCAAGCAAACAGACTTTCTCCTGAGGAACTATGCTGGGAAGTACCAAAACTTTTACACAGAGCTGTATGCAGACACTTTGTATAGGATTATGTTGTTTTTTATTTTCTAAAGTGTGGGACAATGTCTAATGAGACAATTAAATAAGGGAAGAAAAACTGACCAGTCATCTTCCAGTCTAAGGGAGTCACACAATGCATTTAGCTTTTGTTCATAGCCCTGTTGACTCTTGCCTGAATGCTAGAGGAGGTATCCTGTAGTGGGACATCCCATACCCATCCTTACTGATGACAAAGGGAATGGAATCCTCCTTTATCAGACACGTGTATTGCCACAAGTGACTTTAAGCAAGGAGCCTTTATAGTCCTGGTATAATAAAAGAAAACTAAATCTACATTAAAGCAGGTTATTTTAAGAATTACCTACCATCTCATAATTTCTCTGCTTTAAAGAATTGAGATGTGAGGACATCCTCTCTAATTAAAAGCTCATTATAAATGAGCTCTGAGAATATAATTAATGTTCTCCAGGAGTGTATGCAGTTTGAAATCAGCTATTGATGTGTTTTTAGATCTCTGTTGTATTGATTAAGAACTTCTGGCATTGCACAGATGATACACTAAAATTTATACATGGTGTCATTCATTTACAGAGGTTTTTCTTTTATGCATGTCATTATAAACTGCATGGTATGCTTTTTTTTTCCCCTGTGTGGAAAGTTTGTGCTTCCTTTTCTATTCCCCTTTTTAGAGGGGAAAAGAGGAGGAGGCAAAACCAGATCTAGAGAGAATGGATCCAGGCTCTGAGAACAGAGGGAGAACAGTTGTGTAGCTCTTCACAGGGCTCGAGAAAAGTCAGAATTTAGAGACAGAGGTGTATTGAACAAGAGGAAGATTGAGGCTGGAATTTCCCAGTGTAGGAATGGTAATTCTGCTTTAAATCTCAGCTGTCCCTTTGTCTCCAAATTTGAAGAGAATTCTGAGGAAGGCATGAAGTGAAGTTCTAAGACAAGAAAGAAGTTTTGCATCTTTTTAGTAATTCTGAAGAGAAAAACCTGTTTGTACTTCAGGAGGTAAATTCAGAATTGTGACAGAATTGTCTTAATAGATGATGATTGCTTTTTGAGCAAGAATTTCTTTGCTCTTTCAAAGGAACACAAAAATTAAGAAAAGAATTGTCACAAGAGGAACAAAAGATTTATGAAGCAAGAAAAGGATATAAACAGAAGCATGTTGCAAATTCTCTGACATGAAATTATGAAGACTTATGCCGTGTGTCTGGCACAGCCATTTACTGTGATTTATAACTATTGCCTTCTTTCCGATTTGCTTATGGTACAGTGGGAATAATAATAATGTTAACATAGCTTAAGGCTTTAAATATGCCATTCGTCTACTCTAAAAAGGATGAAAATGTGATTAAATAGGAACAAAAGGGACACATTTTCTCTGGCAGTGAACTTGTGCACTCCCATATTTTGCTGGTCTGTCTCAAAAAATGTCCCACACCCACAATGAGGTTCAGTGCTTCTGTGAGCAATGTGATAGAGGTTGGAGCTGGGAGGAAAATGAAATATATGGAATGCACAGTATGTGCCATATTATTATTGAAATATGGCATGGAGTGAAAGCAGCTGATCACAGAATTGCTCTATGCATTCCTTCTGCATAGGAAACAATGGGAATGAAAGGGGAAAGCTTTATAAGCAAAAATCAGCCAGTATTCCCTCTGAGTACAAATGCAGAAGTAATTTAGAAAAATGTGTTAGGCATGGTGAAATGATTAGAAATTAAATTAGGTCTGCTGGGATTGCTGAAAGAACATCAGCTGAGAAACATCACAAACTTGTGCCACTTGCAAGAATTTGCATCGTGGTCTTTGCAAAGCAGCAGAACTTCTTATGATAATGATTTAGAAAGTAGATCATTTCAATGTGAAGGAAATTAAGCTCAGACTCAGCCTTTTCCACACCAGCACCACAGCAACAGTTCTTTCCCCTCAACAAGATTTAGGAACATTTCTTCCAGCAGCTTCCCTTTGCTATTAAGTTGGAACAATTGTGTTTAATAGAGGCTTGTCATTTGCATGCCGTGAGTGAAGGAAAGAGGAATAGTTCTTGGAAGGAACAAACTCCAATTAAACACTCCAGGCCCAGTAAAACTGCTGGGCAGGTGTTTCATGTCAGGCTGATGTATAATCTCCCTTCTAAGGAAAGTTCAAATTTTAGGGAACTTTATTGCCATCCCAGCTGTTCTCTGGAAGTGGGCAGGACAGCACAGCACCTGGTTCCTGTGCTCTCTTCAAAGATTCCATGCAGCTTGGCAGGTTCTGTTTTCCAAAAAAAAAAATAAATAAATAATAATAAAAAAAATCCTATTGACTGGCATTAATTCTGCATCCCTTCTTTAATCCTTCATTAATTGAGACTTGTAGGAATTGCTCCATTATTTTGCTAGGGTTGATGCCAGGCCTATGAGCTTCTAATTATTCAGGTTGTCTCATTTGCCCTTTAATAGCAACAGCACAGGACCTGCTGCTTTTCCAGTCTAAAGAAGTTCCCCTGACATTTTGAGATCTAATGGAAAAAGAACAACAAAAAAGAAAATCATTATCGTGGTCTGCTAAATTCTTTTGCTGCTTTTGAAAAATTCTTACAAACAAAATCTTCGTCCTACCTAAGAGTGTAGCCTTTGTAGCCAGTTTTTAACATTTTCCAGGATTATTCTGAGAGTGAAAGTATTCCATCAGATAAGGTTGTCATATCATCTTGCATTTCACCTGTTCAAACACAGAATACAAATGTCACATATTTACTCTTTCTACACTGACAATTTTCTTGTGTTATTCAGTAATGAGACAATTCCATTTTGAAAGGACTTTATACTACAAAATATGTTAATTTTTTTTGTTTTTGTTGCTAAAATGTTCTGGGTGAGTTGGAAAAAAGTTTCTCCTGGTTAAATTTAGATGTTTCTGTTTGATCATCTTCCATCATAAGGTATTGAACTTGAGGGACTTACTACAAAAATGCTTTCTATTACACTTGTGATTTTATGCTCCACATCTTTCAGAATTCAGAGCTATCTGACTGCCCATAACTGAGGTGATGTATTCATTTTCAGGCTGGAAGCTATCTTAACTTCGCTCCAACTTTATCATTTATTATTCCTCCCTCCCTAAAGTGCCTGGAAAGCTCCTGGATTTTCCAAATGATACTGAAATGAAGGCAGACTCAGCGTGTCTGGGTGATTCTTGCTGTCTTTCAACTCTTGGCCTCCTCAGTGCACCTTTCCTTGAGTTCCTTGAGTTCCAGCCTCGTTTTTAATATTGTCTTAGGATGAGTTTTCATTCCATAGCCTCCTTTGTGCCTTTTCCTATCCTATGGCTTTGGGATACACCCTATTAGTAGCTGTGGGAGTGCTGTGAGATTTTTTCAGGCTAGATCTGATGTGTGCTGCAGGGACCATGAGCAGTTCCCAAGAGCTCGTTTTTCCAGGAAAGGCTCTGATGTGTGCCAGTGCTGGGGGCTGTGGCACACAGGCAGGGGAGGCAGCAGGGCACATTCCCAGTGGGGCTGTGCCCATGCTGGCCTCCAGTGTCACAGCAGACTCTGCCAGGCCTCCAGACTGGCATTTCCTGTCCAGAGTGGCACAGAGGCACGGAATATTTGGATCAGGAAAGACCTCAGGGATCACCCTGTCAGCCAGACTGAGTGCCACCTCCAGTCCTTTCCTGAGCACAGAGCCTGTGCTTTTGTTTGTTTGTTTTGTGCTATCCCTTATTCCTGAGTTTCCAGCAACTTGAAAACGTAGTGGCAGATTATCCAGGAATAGCAGAGTTCTCTTGCAATTTCTTTTTTACCTATGTAACTGTACACAGGTGTTAAAAGCAGAAACTGCAGCAATCCTTATCCAGCATTCCCTCTCAATCCCAGAAGTTACCAAACACGTCCAAGATGAAGTGCAGAATTTTCTGGTTTCCACATTCTTAGCTTTTAATGTCCTGTGCATTCAGTAAAACCAGATTTGTTCCCCATTTCCACCACCCCTTTTTATAATTAGCACAACAGCTTCCCAGCCAATCGAGCCAGCCAGGCTGCTAGAAAATGGATTTGCCTTCCTGCAAGAAGGAAGGATGCTTTACTGTGGATTGAGGAGCTGACATCTGTACTGGCCTTCCAGAAGGACTGGAGTCTTAGTTTCCCAGATTTGCTGTCTGGACATCATAGATATCCATACATAAAACCGGTGCCTTATCCCATATAATTGATTCTATCATTCTGTGTTAAACACAGCAGTGAAGGGCAAGAAAAACAGAAAAAAACCCCTTTTCATCCAGTTTAAATGATCCACCTTTTGTAAATGCCCCAGATTAACAAAATCCTTTTTAACAAATTATTCCTGATTTGTTACAATCAGTTCTGGCTAATTTTTAGCTAGACAGGCAACTGAAGAATAAATAGATATACTGTGGTGATTATTAGAACTCTAAAAAATTCTATGCACAAATAACTTTGGAAACCACTAGAAGGAAGTGGGTTTTGATGAGACAGAAGAGATGTTATCTCTCCAAATGAGCACCTCAAGGGTTTTGATAATAAATTTTGATAAATTCTCCTTCCACAAGATTTCACCTTGAGTAGAAGGTACCTGTGTATCTGTGACAGAATTATTGTGCAGCTTAAACTCTTTGGCATGAGCAGCAGCAGTTAAGGACAAAACATTGCTGCAGCTTGAAGGACTAAATGGAGGAAGTATAAAATAAATTTATATACGTGAGGGAAAGATTTTTGTTGGGAAAGTTAATCACAAACATTGTCATGGCAGCAGTGTAAGGAG